ATATACATATATATATATAAACATAATGCGAACGAATCTATAAATCAAACAAAATACAGCATGTATTAGATTGTGCCTTTATAATATACCATTGAATTGAACTAATAGACAAGACGCAGAGAATAGAGATGCATGATTTGTTTGTATTCTCAGTTGGAAGTACCTAGATTTGACAAGGGCATTTTTATGTAAAATACAGTTCTGTCATTCTTATATTTATATACAAGGTTTTTTTTTGTATGCACTTTGATAAAAGTAAAGAACAAAAAAGTTACATTTTTTTTCTTTATCGATTTACATTTTTGCACTTAAAATATGCGAAATTAATGGTTATAATGAATGATCAAAATTTTTTGAGCAATATTGATTGGATTATATAGAAGCTCCATTACATACATCATTGATGAGTAGGTCTGTACAGTAGACTGTAATAATTCAAAAAACGTTGTCTTCTTTTTTTTTGTATGATTTTTTTCTTATCTAACATCTATCTTATAGTTATGTTCGAAATACCGCAAAAATGCATTATTTCGAACACTACTATTTTACATGTTTTTATAGCCCGAAAAATGTTTTGTAAGATACGTATGCGCAGTAAAATTTTACGATAGAGTAAAAAACATACGATATAAGATATTTTGTCAGGGTCAAATAGTGATGACATAAAAAAATGTTATTATCATCATCATTTAGAACACAAGCTATCTCTGGAAATAGATATCATTGTCAAGGTTAACAATTTTCTTTTTTTTTTTTTAGACTAATAGACTGATTAGTACTTATCAAACATATTTCATGTGGATTGCTTTTTAGTTGACATGTTGATAGTAGAATAATAATAATTATTTTACTATAATGAAACAAGAAAGCGAGTCCTTGTTTCGAACATATCCTTTGACAGGTACTTAACATACTGGTTGATTTCAGTATTTTTGAAACATGACGCGTCATTTCCATTAACAACATTTATTATCATTCCATTAATATTCACTATATGTATTCCATTGCTTTTGTCATTATAAAATATTCGATCTATTTATTTAGACAGCTTTGTTCTATTTTTCTCAAGTACTAACTTGCATATATAATTTAATTTAGTTCAATTTCGTTTTAGAACTAGTTCATAATCTGTATGATGCAATATAGCCTAACACAAAAAGCTTCATTTGAGTATCTCTTTTTCTTTCTGCTAAAATGATAAGTGTGTGATCCTTGTAAAGCAAGGCTGTTTGACTTCTCTTGTTGGTTATATAATTGTTGCTTTTTTTCTCACTCGGTTTATTACGCTTGACTATTTTTTAAGATCAATTTATATACATGCATTTATATATATATGTATAGAAAGAGAATAACTATAACGAAATAGCATCTATTGGCATTTAAAGAGAAAAATTTTCTACAGAGAATAAGACTAGAAATTGAATGATCGTTAGTGCTCTATAACGATAATCGTTCGTGTGTGCGCGTGCGTGTGTGGCCAGAAGGAAGAACAGGCTGTATTTTTCTTTGTTTCAATACTATGGGGTACAATCGTGTAGATTCTTATATATACATATTCAGTTACTGAACGAAGTATGATGCTTACTCTAGACTTCTCGATGATCGATAGTCAATTGTTGCATCAGAGCGTAATAAAAGAGAAAAAAAACTGTTGTTATTATGAGCATTAGGATATTTTAGAACAGAAGAAATCTAATTCGAAGAAATATATATATATGTAAATATATATACATATATACTTTATAAAGTTATTTTTCATCAAAAAGGTTATTTATCATCGCTTTCTTCCCATTGAAGTAAGTGAATATATACATTATGAATATCTAGATAACAAAGAATAGCTAGCTAGTAGTATTGTATCATCACGTTCATATTCACAAATCGACGATTGATATGCAGATGTGTTTATCAATTTTTTTTCTTCTTTAGACGAATACTAGTCTAGTCATTATTCATCAAATATGACTCATATAATCTATATACTTATTATTATTGTTATCTCCATAATAAATGTGAAAGGCAAATCATGCGATATTCTTGAAAATATGTCATGTGAATGTCATTCATCATATAATGGTGAAATAGAACAATTAATATGTAATAATTATAAAAATTCAATGTTTACACAAATTAAATTAACAAATGAAACTCTAGAAACTAGTCGTTCATTTGATACATTTCATTTAATATTTTATGATCATGAATTTAATATAAGTTCAATGTTTGTTAATGAATTATCTTATTTATTTCCTCGTACATCATTATTAAATCGAGGAGAGAAAAAATTATCAATTAAAATTATTTTATCATTTCCTAATTTTCTTCAATTACATTTTGAAGATTATTCATTTTATCAATTATTTAAAGAAAATTCAAATTATAAAACAATTCTTACATTAGAATTAACATCTAATGGACAAATAACATTTTCATCTATGGCATTTAATCAATTAATCGTTGATCAAGTGTTTTTACATACATCATCATTAGAACCATATTCATTTGAAGAAATATTTAATAATACAAATATAGGTGAATTAACAATTGAAGGTAAAAGAAATATTTTCTTTTCTTCCAATAAAATAAACATACAAGTATATATATATATATATATATTTAGGTTCAACACCTCGAAGTAATGAAACATATAGACAAAATTTTAATGGTAAAATTCAATTAGCTAAATTTACAAAAATGGTTGAATCTGTTTCAAATGAAGAATTTCCTCCTTATCCTGTACGTTCAATGATTATTGAAGCACATGAAGCAAGAAAAATGAATGCTTCAACATTTATGAATTATCGAAATTTACATGGTCTTCATTTAATTCGACCAAAATTTTTCTTTGATAATCGTACATTTGATGGTTTTCAATATATAATTAGTCTTGAAATAATTGAACTTGATGCTGAAACAATCAAAGGTATGTTTATTTCAAAATTTCTTTTTTTTATTCTAAAATAACTTTTCCGTTCACAGATAATACATTTCAGCATGCATCACGTATTCGATATTTTACACTTGGTCAAAATACTCGTTATTTATCTGAATATTCATTAGATTATTTAGATTATTTAGTACATTTTGATGCATCAAAGATAATTCTCGATCAATTATATCCAACATCAAGATGTGTATTAGCACGTTTTATTGAAAAACAAAAAAAATTAAATCCATCAATTATTATTTCACCACCACAAGCTGAATATTGTGATTGTGTTTATGATTTTATTTTAACAATATTAAATAAAAAAGCTGATCAATCATATTTAGATTTATGTTCAGAAAATCAACAAGAACGTTGTGAATTAAGTCAATGTAATGTTGTTAAAAATTTTCGTTTACCATTAATAAACAATATAGTTAATGAACAAATTATATCATCTATTGAGGACGATATAATTAATTCAACAACAACAACAACAACAACAACACCATTATATCCAATTGATAATGGTATCATAACAACAGTTCATCAACTGCCAGCTTATGTTCATCGACATCCACCTGTCGATCGTCAATCACAAACAAATAATAAATATGAACGTATTGATTCATCTGATACAAATATAAAAGTGATTATTCATTATATTATTTTAATAGAAAGACCAAAAAAAGAAAATTTCATTTTTTTCTTTTTGTCTTGTTTTATTTCTTTAGGATTCATATACATCACCACTTAAAATAAATGATCCGATTGATCCAAATGCAATATCACCAGATGATGATGATGAAGACTATATCGATTCAACATCATCCATAGATAATTTTCAAACAACAATTAATCTATATGATGAAAAACGTCGAATAGAAATGAAAAATGAAACATTCAAATGGATATCATTATCATTAGTATGTATTACTATATTATGTCTTCTCTTTGTTGGTACATTAATATGGTGTTTTACTTGTCGTCCATTGAGACGAAATTATAAAGCAGGATTTCAACCAGTTCAATTAAATGGTTCAAATGTTTAGCTTATTATTTTTTTCTTTATTGCGTTATCTTGCTGCAAGTCTTTCAAAGAAAAACAAGCAAAAATTTACAAAAACACCAAGAGTTACAAAAAAAAAAACAAAAACATTTTCTCCCTCTATTTTAATTTATCCGGTGATAAAAACGCTCGTTTTTTTCTTTTTTACGTAATATTGTATGCTACAGTATTGATGAACAGCTATGTTTACACTAACGGAATAGACCAATTGCCATGTATTGATCGAGAACTACGATAGTTATTGTTGACCTTGTTTTGTATGAGAACAATTATGTATGGATGACGTGCATATGTTCTTTTTTACACGGTCATCATTTAGTCAACTCAGGGATATGTGTTCGTTAAAACACATATATATAATATATACTTAATGTCCATCAACATTCCCATTGATTGAAGTTGATATAGATCTTTACATTAGAAAGAAAATAGTTGAAGAGCAAGAAATGTTTAAAAAAATGTTTTTTTCAAAATCCTATATTATATACTATTTCCCCTTATCCTTGTGCTTATACATGTGTGTTTTGGCATGATTTTTTTTGTCTTTGTTGTTTTTATTTCAATAGTATAGATCGTTGCACCAATACACAAGTTCTTCTTTTTTTGATTTATTTATAATCATGCATATATATATATATATATGTTCATTTTGTTATTTATTTGAATATCTTTGAAGAATATTGATTTCGTTTGTTGTAATTTTTGGCATTGATATTTTCATTTTTCGATATATGATTGTCCGAGGATCCCTTCGTTTATAATCATTAATCATACTTTCGAATTCGTAAAACATACATTTCGGAGATAACATGGTATCAAGTGAAATCGATACGAAATCATTATGAGTATCTTCACGTTGATCTAGATTAACTGAATTAGGTAAAGATGCAGGTTCTTTCTTTGTATTAATAAAATTGTCTGTATTTGTATAAATAACAGAAGATGGCATCTCTTCTTCGAAATTAGATGAAACATACGAATCTTGTCTCTCATCTTGATCTGAAGCAGGTAAAAACATCGATGACTTTTTTACATCAGTGAATGTGTTTGAGTCTAAAGGGTGGGGATAATATAAAATTGTATTCTGTGCAATAGTTATTGATTCGGACCGTTTATTATTATTCTTTTGATCGTTATGAAGTGGTTTAGGTAAAGTTGCGGGTGGTTTCTTGACGTTTGTATCAATAGTTGTATTTGAAGAAACAATAGGAGATGTAGTGGTGTCTTCGAAATGATTTGATGATTTGGATTGTTTATTTTCATTTCTATCGATAGTAAATGATTTAGGTAATGTTGCAGTTGATTTCTTTAAACCTGAAACAAAAATTTGAGCTAATTTTGCATCACGTGGAAGAGTTCTTTCATTGGATGATTCTGATGATGAAGGAGTAGGATTAGATTTTGTTGGATTTGTATCATCTAAATAAAACAAGAATACAATTTTAATAAGATCTGTATTGAAATAATTCAAATTCAATTGAATTCATCGATTATAGAGTAAAACAAAAGTCGAGACTAACAAATATAGATATAAGATATAATTAAATAAATCAAAAAATCTTACCAAATGCTTGATATAAATCATTCGGTTGTGATCGTTCTAATTTTTCTGGTTGAGTTGAATCTAATGATGATACACTATGAGTCATATGTGGTTTAGGTGTCCGAATGCCCATGACTGGTTGTTGATTGAATTTTTTTAATCTTTCAGCAAAACTTTCACCATCCATTTTGTTTTAAAAAACTTCAATAATATATTATTATTTAACTTACAAATAAAAAAAGCAGATGAATAATTGCTATAGAATATGTAACAGAATGAAAACTAAACTTTTTCCTTTCTTATATACATGTATGTTTTTGTTATCAAGTTATTGTTGAGTCTGTTACTAAATAGATGTATGTTGACAACAAAAAAGATAATGGTATCACTAAGAATTTGCTTTTCAATTTATTTTTGGAAAAAAATTCATGTTAAGAATTAAATTTAGATTGTATTTGAAAAGAAAATTGAATTATCCATAGAATATTTACGAAATTCTGAAGAAGATATCTGATGAAAATATGGCAGAAGATGTTATTCTGTTTTTTTCCGACATAAAACTAATCTGTAACAACATACAAATACGTAAATTCATTTTTTAGACTCTTGTTGATGTCATTATCAAACTTCAATATATTAGATCAAAAATTCAATAAGTTGAAAATCTTCTTTCTTATCAATTAATAGCTTTCAATTATCGAAAAGGGAAACAATGATATATTAATACAAATAAAACTGAATAGCGTTCAATCATTTATCAGGATGATACAAGGTGTCTAGAACAGTTGTTCACTAGGACACCTATGGGTGTGACTATGAATGACGAGAATAGCCACATCCGCAAGCAACTGTGCTGTCCAGCAAATATGTTAACGAGCAACTGTCCGCGCACAACTGTCCAGCTCATCATACAAAGGAACATTATTGAAGGAACAGCTTGAATTATTAATCTATATCAAACAGCTGTTTTTTATGTTTATATATGAGTTTACTAAAGAAATATATCATTGAACGATTGAACTACTTAAGATGATCATTTCTCATTGTAATCCACATATAAAAAGCAAATATATTTCGACGACATATGAATTCTAATGATTCCTTGTAACGATTATTTTCTTTTTAACCACAGTGATGAGTTTCTATCGAATCTTATATACAACAGTGCCCTCTTCTTTATTTTTTCGACTGTGATAAGTCGTCAATCACTAAAAGATATTATTCTCAACTTATTCAATTTGTAGTCAATTATTATTAAATCTGTTGCTGACATTAATTAATCTTTTGATTTCTGATGACGCATGTATGCGTCATGAACTTGATCATTGTTTCAAACTGATGAAATCACTTATAATGTACGTTGTTTTAGATGCATTTGAGTAAATGTCAACATCAAACAGCAGAAGCTTTCTATATTATCATCTTGTTACAGTCCATACTTAACTCTTGCAATAAGAAACACAAACATGCGTGGTGTACAACCTATATCTGTTTATCTTTTGTCAGTCACCAAACAGTTAAAAGATTCAATGTTGCTCTACATGGTCGGTATTCTCGACACTAATTGGTCTAATTGGCAATGGAACATCAAGGATTGCGGGCACTGCTGTGTTGCTGCTCTATAACCGTACTTAATGTTTACAATATGTTTAGTATAGATCGCATTTAAATAAGAATACCGAATGAACTATTGCTCTGCATAAAATGATAATTGAAAAACCCAGATGGCATTAATAATCGTTAACAAGTTCGGTAAACTATTTTTTCATTGGATAAAAATTTTCTTCAATCAAGCATAGTCTCATCCTATTGAATAGTGTAGCGTGGCAGGTATGATCATTAATACTCTATTAATAGAGAAAAGTACTAATATATAAAACAACCTTGAATAATTAAAGTGTCTAATTTATTTTACGATCAAACAATCTCAATGCATTCCTCTTATTTTATCTTCATCAGTTTTGCTTTACTTTATACAGTTGCTATTACCAATGGTCATAATGATCTACCGAAACGAGAAAAAACACATTTAAAAAAAGATCCACTAGATTATACAGATCGAGATGCAGACAGTCTTTTTGAAGAATGGGAGGTAAAAAGTTTAATTTCAATTATTTTTCTTTTATTTTCTCTATGAATATAAAAATTTTAGGATAACGATGAAGATATTTTACCTGAGGATGAACGACATGATTATTTTCTTCGTGGTAAAAATCGACAGGGTCTTCGACCCGAAGATTTAATGGGTAAACCACAGGAAGAAATAATGAAATTATCAAAAAAAGGACAAACATTAATGATGTTTGCTACTGTTTCGGGTTCACCAACACGACGTGAAACTGAACAGATTACTCAAATATGGTGGGCAGGTTTAAAAAATGCTTTACTTGATGTCAATAGGTAAGTTTATTGTTATTTCAATAAATTTCAAAAACAAACAGTCGTTTTTTTTTAAGATATGTTATTGATGATAATCGTATTTTACTTGTTTTATCCGATGGTTCACAAGCATTTGATGTAAAAGATTTTCTTGTACAACAAGATCGCTGTCAAGAAGTTACTATCGATAATAAGCCTTATTATGGTAAAGGTGCTAAAGTAAGTGTATATATATATACATATACAATGACTCCAAAAAATTGATCATACTGATTTATTAGCAATTTTTTTTTTCCGTAAGTATATCTCAGATAGAGAATTTGAATGGTCACTTGATTAGTGAAAATTATTTTTGACAAGAATTTGAAAGATATAAAACCTTTAGCATTTCTAAAATTTCGAATCTCTAAAATAGTCAAAATCTAGTTTTTTAGCAAACACAATCCGAAAATACACTTTCTTATGATTATATAGCGTAATTGATTCTCTACAACATGGGCCGACTCAGAGCGCTCTTATGAGGTTTCCTCCAGGAGTCGAAAAAGTTTTTTTTTAAGTTTGATTGAAAAATTTTATATTTGATCGAATAGCATTCGCCGTGCTGATCACAAATATAAGTTTTTTTTTTTATTGAAGTTTGTTGGAATAATAAGAAATATATTAAGACATTGCTGATGGGAACTCTTATAGATGTACAATAGGAAATCAATAGGTCTTGACCTTGAAATCCTTTCTGAAGTAATGTTTGAAGTAGTTGAATAACTTTGATTCAAATCAATTTTTTTATGCTCTATTCGATTTAGAGAGAATCTACGAGAAGTATTACGATTTTCGCTTTGATAATATCCTATTTAAGACACTCAATTTTTATACGCTCATGAAAAGTTTCTATTCATTAACTGCATGAAAGCAGTTCTATAAATTTCGAAATTTATAGTGCATACACAGTTTTATCTGGTCTTTCTAATAGTTATACTTGTACTAAGAATAAAAGTAAACTAAATATCTCAAGAGCACTTACAATATAAATCTGTAGCTCAAAAGGTATCAAAGTACCGTCAGAACACTTATGTATCAACATGTAAAAACACAGAATATAACTTGCACTTGGATTTTAAGAATAATCGACATCTCTGAGAGACAATGTATGGATTAGAAAAAGCTGTCATTGATTTCAATTTGAAAGAAGTTTAGCGTCAGGAACAAGTTCTGCCTTTGCGAAGGTGTCTTATAAAGATGTGGGTTAGAGAAGTCCTCATATTTTCCTTGTTATTTAATTGAACTTCAGTAAAAATATGATTATTTATGATCAGTGCAATGCGTTCGAAATAAAATTTTTAAATTACAAATAAAGATTTCTTTTTCAACCTCTAGTGGGAACTTCAGACACAAAAGACAATGAAGCCAGATTACACAGTTTTGAACTAAAAAAGTCATTCTTCCGTTTATTTTCGAGCTTTGAGTGTTGAAAAACTAGATTTTATAGAGATTCTAGTCATCTTGAATACTACAAAAATTTTATTTCTCAAAAATCCTTGTTGAATCTGAACTTCCCAATTTAAGTGACTATTCAAATTTTTTATACGAGTTACTGTGACGGAAAAAAATTTGGAAGGAAATTTGTATGATCAACTTTTGGAACTTCAATATTATTTGTATTTTTCAAAAATTAAAATTCTTGTTTTTGTTTTTCTTTATTAGGAGGACGATAAAAAGAAAAAGAAAGATCTGTGAAAAAATTGTTTAGTGCAATCTCATATACAATAATCTGCTTGATTCCTAGTCTTTTACTTTAGTTAGTTAATCTCGTAGTTTTGGCAATATACTTCATATATAGACTGTGATTTAATTGTGATTGTCTTTCTTCTAACTTGATGCAAATCTTGCTTTACTTTACTTTTCTTTCTTTTTGTTGTGATTATATTTATTTACTTCTGATAATTTTACTAATAAATTATAAGATTATATCTTTACTAAAGGAAAATTTATATAAATCTTTACATGATATTTATTTTTTATAAAAATTAGATAATTATTTAAATAATATTCAATATCAAATTTTCAAACAATGGAAAATCAAATAAATGTAAGTTTATTTCATAATTTACATCATAGTAAATTAATATTGTACAGTAAGATTTATATTATATATGTGTAATAAAATGTTGTATTAGACGCTTTTATTTTATTTTTTTCTTCAAAAATGAAAATAAACAATATCGCCAGATAACTATCATCTTGATTAGTATAATCATTAGTTTTTGTTCTTATTTGTTAGAGTATAATGAAAAGATTTGATCATAAGAAAAATACGGCAACGGATGCAAAAATATCTTAAATAAATGAATAAATCCAAATAATTCGTATATTTACACTTCAGTCAAAATCCTTATTGAATTTGAAGAGAATGCATGAATCAAACAGAATGATATCATCAGCAATATTGTAGAAACAAATAACTTTTCGTAGTTATTTTGTTAGAATATCTTTCAAGTAGTTTGAATAAGTGCAACAGCAACGAAACAAAAGTGAAAATATTATTCAATATGTTGAAGTGTTCTTATTTTTTTTTATGTAGGTGAAAGTGTGTTGAAATCAAGATGAACATTGAAAAAATTCAACAATTCCGTTTACATAAAGTAAAATCTGCAATTTAAATTTTTTTCCAGCTAAGTTTAAGAAACGAAGTATGAGATAAACTGTCATAGCCGAATCTAATAAAAAAATCTCTTCCCATGAAAACAAAATAAAAATTCAATCTCATCGAAGTCTCAAAAGAGAGACAGAATCAATACGAACGTCTAAAAT